TTCACTTTTAGAAAACTGATGTCACCCTTTAAACCTGAGTGTTAGCCTTGCTCAAAGAGGCCTGAATAAGGTGAGCATACAGTGCATGCTGGGAATGCTAACACCCAAGATGGCAGCAGGGTTGAAATTTTTTGCTGTCATTGCAGTGGCACCTTTCATTCCACCTGAGTCTTCCATTCTTCTGGGTGTGTCGATGGCAGTGCAGTGAAGGGAGAGGGGACCGGGGCAGGGAGAGCCTGAGTCATAAAGGAGGAAGGCAAGAAGAGCAAAAGAGTGAAAGAAGAGAACCAGCAAGGGGGCAGGGGGATGTAGGGGAGATGTTTATTTGGGCTTAAGAGGAGCTCTTCACTGAGGGGCTTTTTTGGGAGGAGGAGACATGAAGGGAGGGAGGGTCATCTCCACACCCAAAAAAGTAAATTAAGGTCAAATATATTGACATTTGTTTTTAATTTCTCAAATTTTATCTGACAGAGGTAGATTTACAGTCCCCCATACTGCAGCATTACATTAATACAGTATTAATATATTAGATTAAAATAGATTTTTTCAGAATATAATTCTAATGTCTTTTTTCACTCCATTAACATACCTTTTTATGCAAATGTGGGGAAGGATCACAGATTACTTGGATATTATAAAAGGGGGCTATGACTCAAAAAAAGTTGGGAAACACTGAGCTATATTGATCTACTATACATCACTATAAAACTCTTTCATTCTATAGGTTATAACAAGTACACTTTGCCTGAAAATAAGTAATATTTAAACTAATGGGTCTGAACATACATGTGCTTTAGAGCAGGAATGCTTTAGAGAACCACAAAGTTGGGAAACACTGAGCTATATTGATCTACTATACATCACTATAAAACTCTTTCATTCTATAGGTTATAACAAGTACACTTTCCCTGAAAATAAGTAATATTTAAACTAATGGGTCTGAACATACATGTGCTTTAGAGCAGGAATGCTTTAGAGAACCACTAGAAAGCTTTTAAAAGCTTTTGTTATAAGCAAATAGATCAAAACAGGTCAATATACTGCCAATGAGAAAAATCACCTTTAAGTCCACTATCTAATGTTCTTTCTAATTTGAAATGTTTGGTATCCAGAGGTTGGACAAACCATCTATTCCATTTCTTTAAGCACTAAGCAAGTTCAAGGTATTCCAGTTCTATGCAACCTCTTTAAGAGAAGATTTTTCACTGGAAGTAACTGTGAAGAAACTAGCAAGGAAAGGGTTAGTTCATTCCTTGAAGTCTCTGAAAAGCTGAACCCAGTTGGGTGGGAGGAGGAAAATTTGACTTGGTGGGTGCAAATGTGTTATCAGTAACCTTGGAAGTGTAAGAAGTGTTATGAGACGCCAAGTCTTCTTGGATTCATATGGTACCTAAATTAATGGCATCTGATGAGTTACTCTTGCAGAAGTTACTAACTGGCCAATTGGCAATGGTGCGGCTAAAAAAATATTGTAAATAAATATAATAAATAAATTTGAGAAAAAACACTGACTGGTTGAAAACGCTGACCCATTCAAAGAGGGTATGGGATATAAGGAGAGACAGAAGAATGGTTCACTTAAGCAGCTTTGAGCAGCTTATGCTTAGCTTGCTTCATATTTCAACATGTAATCAAAGCTTGTTATTCTGCTGAACTCTGTGTGTGCACTGGAACCATGGTAGAACCAGATATAGCTATTTCCTATTTCCTGCGGGTCTGACTCTTAATTGCATTACTCTCTGAATGAGTTTTGTTTTGCTTTCATCATGGAAATGGCTTCACATCATTCTTCTAAAAGCTCTGACAGAACAAGGGATTGGGGATAATAAAAAAATGTATTGCACTTCAAAGTTCTGAATACTTTGCAAGGTTGATTAGGATCCATGGGCCACAACATGAATGTTTTTTGTTTCTTTCTGGAGCAGCAAAGGAGCAAGTTGGCTCCAAGATGTTGAGAGAAGGGGCTTACAGGAAGCTTTTCCCACTGAATCTACTTGGCAAGTATCCAAACCAGGTTAAGTAAGGGAAGTGTGGCTAGCAGTCAGTGGATCCTCTGTGTTGGCCCAGCATCCTTCACAGTAACTAACACAGAATTCTGTTTGCTTACAATCCAGGTTCAGATGGACTTAAAGACAAAGATACAGAACAAAGAATCAAGCCAGAGACAAGTTGTAAAGGTTAGACAAAACACGGGAATGAGAATGTCATGAAAATCTACCTGTGTGCACGTGTCCTAGTGATGTGACAAGTCTCATACCTTGACATTTTCCTATACTTCACCAAGTCTCTTGCGCCCCTTTCAGAGAAGAGAAGGAGTGGCTATACCAGCATTAGCTTTCAAATTAACAGCAGTCAAAAGCAGTCATTCCAGAACACCCAAACACACACACAACATTTGCTATCTATTAAATATTTGAAAAGCCATACTTTGTTTTAATTCTCTCACTCTATCACCCTGGGGCCACTTTCCTATACAACTGTGAAGTGGAATGCCACATTTAGTGACCACTCTACAGATGTGGTGGTGCTGCGGGCTAAACCGCAGAAGCCTGTGCTGCAGGGTCAGAAGACCAGCAGTCGTAAGATCGAATCCACGCAACGGAGGGAGCGCCTGTCGTTTGTCCCAGCTCCCGCCAACCTAGTGGTTTGAAAACATGCAAATGCAAGTAGATTAATAGGGACCACCTCAGTGGGAAGGTAACAGCATTCCGTGTCTAAGTTGCACTGGCCATGTGACCATGGAAGAGTGTCTTCGGACAAAATGCTGGCTCTATGGCTTGGAAACGGGGATGAGCACCGCCCCCTAGAGTCGGACACGACTGGACAAAAATTGTCAAGGGGAACCTTTACCTTTAACAACAGGTGCAGAGGTGGTCTTAATCCGCAGGGTTGCAAAGAGAAATGATGGTATTTTACCTTCTAAACATCACGCACATCTAAGTGTTCTCATTTCTTTGAAGGCGTCAAAGAGGACCGACTAGGAGGGCAAGTATTTCTGCATGCTGAGGCACCCCAGAACAGTGAGGGGCAAGACACGACACACACACACCCCTCGTAAAGTCAGGCACCCTCGGGCGAAGCACAAACACGGGTCCCTTCTCTTACTCCTATGGGGGGGCAACGGCCTGGAGAGAGGCGCAGAGTGCGAAGGGAGGGTCTCCATAAAGGGCCTGCTTCTTGGCCCCGAGCGGTTTTCAGGGGCCGGCCGAAGCCCGCCCAGCGACCGGCTACCAATTCCGGGTCCGAGAAGCTCGCAGCCTATCAGACCGAGCCACACCAGCACGGCGGCGGCCGCCACACCCGACCGGGCTTTGGCAGAGCCGGCTTTCTCGTAGAGGAAAGGGGCTGGCTGGCGGGCGGAGGGGGAAGGGGTCTGCAGGGCAAAGCTTATGATAACGACGCCGTGTCTAAAGCTCTCTCTCTCTCTCTCCCCCGGCCCCGTTTCCTCCGTGCCCTCCTCAGTCGTAGACCGGTATGACAACCAGCCCTCTCTCTACTCTCCCGCAACTCACCAAAAAGAGGAGGAGGCGGCAGAAGCCGGACTCTGAGAAGATGGCGGCGGCGGCTCTCATGGTCACACAGCCGGCCGCTGCTACGGAGGGAAGAGTGAGGGGGGCGGGCGGGCAATTGCCAATCTCCTCTCTCTCCCCCCCGGCCTCCCGAAGAAATTGCACGGCGGCGGCCGAGTTCCACAGACAGGAGGAGGCCGACCTCACTTGCACCAGCACCGCCCGCCCCCTCACGCAGACCTGAACACACTTCCGGGTTCTCAAAGCGCTCACGAAGCATGCCGGGAAATGGAGTTTTATTAAAAGCGGCAGCTGAGCTTGTAGTCTGATGAGCGCCCCCTCTGGCCATAGGCGGAAACAAACCTACGGAACTGGTGAAAAAGGACGCCTTTAGGCTGTGGTTCCTGGGAAAAAAAATGCAAGGAAGTTCCTATGGTAGCGGCGGGCACGGTGGTGAACCTCCCATAATGCATTACGAATGGTGGGGATCGGGGCGGGAAGTTATTGCCCGGAGTGTTAGAAGTCCTCGACCCTGGAGGGGGCTCTTTTGGGGCCAACTTTCTATTTATGAGGGGAGGAGGAGGAGAAGACTGGTGAGTAGCGCGGGAGGGTAAGCGGGCGGGCTTCGTGCGTCGAAATAGGGCGGCCAGGAGAGATGCACGCGGGGCACCCCCTTTTCCTCAACTCAGCCCTGCTCTTTTAGGAAGTGCCGCTGTTGAAGACAGGGAGTTTTGGGGCTTCCTCTCTTCAGTCTGGCTTTGCTCTAGAAACTGAAGGTGCCGCGGGTCTGTCTGTGTTGCTTTTTCAGTGGACCCACGACTTCCATGTTACGGCTCCACTCGCAGACTTTCGTAGTCTCCTTTGCAATGCGCAGTGCCTTGGAAACGGGTGTCACCCCGGGACAGAGGGAAGGCGTTCACGCAATGCGGGGCAGGTTTTTTGGTGCCCCGAAAAAAGCAGCAGCAGTTTGTTACCTGATTTGTTAGGGTAGCTTTCCTGCGAGGATAGGAAGAGGTGCTGAGGGAATCTCCGGCGCATCTGCGAAAAATATTTTGGCCGGCTTTAAATAAAGTGCGCTTATGACTCGGACGATGGGCGCCCCGTCGTGTGCTTTGCTTCTTCGGGCACTAGAGTGACTTCGACTGCCTCTGAGGGGACGAGCTGGCAGCGTCTCCTCCTGGCAGTTGCCACGGCATCACTTTAATTAACTTGGGTTGGAAGTATGCTTCTGCCAACATGGGGCACCTTGACCTAATCATGGATGGGGATGTGGGGAAGGATGGATAAACTCCAGCCAGTTCAGCCTTAGCCTGTCCTTTCTCTTTTATTTGTCTACGTCCTAAAGCTCAGTAATGTTACTCTATTATTCCAGTCAGGTAGGAAGAGAGAGCCTCTTTAGCTTGTCAAAAGACTGAACCGCTGAATATAACCCAGGTTGTTATATCCCTGTTTCTAAACATGTTTTTATTTTTAAGCACTCATGTTATATCCCTGTTTCTGACAGGGATATAACATGAGTGCTTGAAAATAAAAACATGTTTAAAATGTTGAGAAAGCTTGCTGACCTTAGCTGAATACTTGAAAATAAAATGTTTCTACCACTTGGGAAGTTTCATTCTGAGCATTTACAGGTGATTGAGGGATCAAAAAGAATACAGGAAAAACAGTTGGTGCATGTGATCAGTGGTTCTTAACCTTTTTGAAAGCATAACATTAGCCAATCTGGTGATGTGCATGTAGCCAGGAAAACATTTTCGCCTTCCTACTGGGCAACAGGGATACCCCTCATGTGAGGTGGGGGCCTGCCTGAATTTTTTGCTTTTGGATACTAAAATGTCTTGCACCAGATGTGCTCACTAATCCTCAATATTTGACAGAGATTTTGATCTAGGTCCCTGACAGCCAAATCTAGCATTTACTACATGTCCCCCAATATCATGGAGAGTTGCCTGTGTAAGTGGGAAAGTTATAGCTTGTTCTTTGATTGAGCATATGTATCACATCAAACATAAACCACGTTCCATAGTATAATAGTTTGGATTTTTTCCTTCCTCTCTCCTGAAGATGAAGCCCTCTGCTGAAGCCATTTACTTCAAAGGGTGTTCTTTGAAGAGAAGTAGGTTCCTGAATGTATGCGAAGTGGAACAATGTCAAAATAGAGATTACCAGGTTCCTAAACTGACTTCTGCTTTTGGTTTTAATGGTTTGAAATTAGGCAGTGCACTGTCTCTGAATGAACAGTGTATAAAATAACACATTTTGCTGCTGTTAAATGTATCTGAGCATCTATCTCTTTCATGGGTAGTGCTTGGTACAACTCTTGTAGTGAGACAATCACCAACAGTCCTTGAAATTTTAAGATTAGCAATCCTATTTACTTCAACAGTATTGAGCTTTTAAGGTTAGCAATCCTATTTGCTTCAAAATTCTGTTAAAATAATTGCTATTCATTCCTTAAAAATGATCGCCTTGGATTATAAGGGATGCCGAAGAATAATACATGGTGCCTCGACTTACGACCATTATCCATTCCAGAAGATGGACGTACAGTGGTGCCTCACTTAACAATGATAATCCGTTCCAGGAAAATCGATGTTAAGCGAAAACATCGTAAAGCAAAATTTAAAAACCCTTTAAAACGCATTGAAAAACGTTCAGTGTGTTCCGATGGGTTAAAAACTCACCGTCCAGCGAAGATCCTCCATACGGTGGCCATTTTTGGTGCTTGTATAGCGAGGAATCCGTCCCTAAGCACAGCGGAGAGCAATTCTAAGCTCCCGGTGGCCATTTTGAAAACCTAACGATCAGCTGTTTTTGATCGTCGTAAAGCGAAAATCGGTTCCCGAAGCAGGGAACCGATCATCGCTAAGCGAAATTCCCCCATTTAGACCATCGTTTTGCGATCGCAATTGTGATCGTGAAAACATCATCATAAAGCGGATTTGTTGTAATGTGGGGCAATCGTTAAGCGGGGCACGACTGCAACTCAAAATGGTCGTAAGTCAAAGCACCAAATACCATTTCACATAGGACTGCATTGAAATGCAATTATTCTGTTCCAGCCAAAGGAAAAAAAATCACAAAAAACAAATCACTACAAGACTCATTGGAAACACAATTACTGTAATCCCTTCTGGCCGAAGTGGGAGAGAGGAGAGAAGGGCGGGAAGCAAAAAAAACCCCAACCCCCCAAGACCCATCGGGAATGGGGGGATACCCCCAAAAAACAAACAAACCCCCCCAAGACCCATCACAGCACAGAAACATAACCCCCAGCTCAAAACTATGCTACAAAAACACCCAGAACAGTTTTTAAAAAGCAGAAAACAGCACCTTACGTTATCAGGCAGCCTGAAGCCTCCCTGCAAAACACACACAGAGATGCTCACTCAGAAGCAGAAGGAGGCAGTCCCAAGCCTCCCCCGACGCACACTCTCTAACTGCTGGGGCAAAAGAGCTACAAAGAAGCAACCTCGTTGCCACCTACAGTTAGAAATTTGATTTTCCTGCCTTTTTCCCTGCCTTTTTCTGTTCATAAGTGGAAGCTCTGGTCGCAAGTAGAAGCAAAATTTTGCAGCCAGAGCTGGTCGTAACTCAAAATGGTTGTAAGTAGGGACATTCGTAAGTCGAGGCACCACTGTAATGGTTAGGATTTGGTTTTTATTAATTAGAGACTAACCCTTGTAATTTACACATTTGGAGACAAATTTAAGCACTCAGTTAATCTGTGACAATGGCTATAGTTGGAACCTTTCAATTTTTATCCTGAATTGCCACTTAATTTCTCTTTTTTTCTGGCCCTGTTCCTGTGTTTTTACAGCAGTATATAAGAGATATTAAGCAGATTAAGCTCATTGCTTATCTCAGGCCAAGGAACAACACCTGCCATTTCATGTTCTGGACAGAATTGTCTTAGCACAGGCACTTTGAATAGTCATAATGACATTACATTTGCTCATTTATTTATTTACCTTTGATCCCAGTGGTGATTTCAGTAACATAGAATTGTAACAGAACAATGGGGGTGATAAAATTGAAACAAAACAACAGTTTACAACAGTTAAGCAACATAACTGATAGAAAATGTCAACAACTATATTATAATTTCTCTTTAGGTAGCTTTAATTCCAAAAAAACCCCTCCTAAATGGCATAGTCCAGCTAGTGATCTAAGCACCAGTTTGGGATTTAAAATACATTTGGAAATAATCCTGAGGGAAGTAGTTTTACATTTTTGGTGTAGTCTTCAGATGCCCATTTTTGTATTGACTGTACTTTGGTATGAAAGCAAAAGCAAAGTGTGCTGCTTATATACTGCCCCATAGTACTTAGAGCACTCTCTGGGCAGTTTACCAGTTAATTATGCAGGCTACACATTGCTCCCACCCTGTGAGCCAGGAACTCATTTTACTGACCTCAGAAGGATGGAAGGCTGAGTAAACAGCTTTTGACTGCAGTACAGCAGTTTAACCACTGCACCATAAGGCTTTCTAAAACAGGGGTCCCCAACCCCTGGTCTGCAGCCCGGTACTGGTCTGTGGCCTGGGTCAGACTGGGCCGTGGAGACAGATCTCCCACCCACCCTGCACAGCCCCTTTGCATGAGCGCCCCAACCCATTTGCAAATGCACGCGAGTGTGTGTGCACCCCCATTTCTTTGCGCATTTTGTGCGAGTGCGTGCCCACCCGCGCAACCAAGCACCTGCCCCTTTGCTCATGCACACGGGGAGTGCCCCGCCTTCCCCAACTGTTAAAAAGGTTGGGAAACACTGCAGGAAGATTGATGTTCCTCAAAGGGGAGGTATAAGCAAGTCACAGATAAAAAGCAATCCATTTTTCCATTATTGTTTGAATGGCAGGATACAGACTTACCTGGATACTCACCTTAACATAATTTGGGGTTTGAGTGTTTCAGGTAGGCTGAAAGCAACATGATCAAGAAGTTGGACTTCATTATGAGTTGGACTCCTAGCAGGGTCGCCAAAGGCAGAATGGTCAAGCTGAGATAATAGACTAAGATGCATTCACAGTCTTCAGGACTAATTGTTATATCAGCAGAAGTGATGGGGTTGAAGGGCACTTACTGAAAAAGTATAGTGCCAAAATATAGTTTAAATAATATTTCTATTGAATTTGAAATCCACATGAAGAATAGATATTCCATTAACCATGAACCAGAGGAATTTTGGATTGAAACCCAAGGAAAAATGAAAAAAGGACTATTTCTGTAATGAAAAGAAACGCCTAGATGGATGACAGAAGAATACTTAAAATTGTTTGGGACAGGCAAGAAGCAAAACTAAAAGGGGACGGTAGTAAGGCCAGCATCCTACAGTGACTATCATGTGGAGACAAAGAGAACTATTATAATGGCCAGTACAAAGAAATAGAAAGGAACTGCAAAAGAGGAAAAATTAGATCTCTTTCTGAAAATCCAAGAAATCAAAGGGAAATTTAAACTTTGATTAGAATGCTCAAAGGCAACAGGAAAACATACAGAGAAGGTAGAAAAAATATACTTAAGTGTTGAAGTTTTTGGTTAGAAGGTATCTAGGAATTTTCTAATTCCTTTAGTTAGCAAAGTATAGGGCAAAGAACCCGCAAATACATGAAGAGATGAGCCCAGTCTCTTTGCCTCCTGCCTGGTTGCACACTAAATTTTGCTCATTTTGTATTAAAAGTTTCTGTAGAAGGATCGTTAAAGTAGGATGTATAAAATGATTGTTTCATTTTATTTATCTCAGTGATGAGATTCTTTCTGGTGGGGAAAAAATAACAAGAAAATGTCCAGTGCAAGGGCAGGTGATACTTTATTACATCACTGAACAGTCATACACAGAGGCTAGCTTTCAATCCATACAGGTCTTCATCAAAATGGGCACCAGAGGGCTGATTTCCAAAAATCATGACATGTGCAGTCAGGCTTCTCTGTTTAAAGCACATTTCAAAATGGAGGCCACAGTCACAAATCAGATGTTTGGTTTCAGATTCCACTTCTGGTGATGTGAATTGCAGTGTTTCTTCCTATCCTCTTAGACCAAAGGGCTGAGTGTTTTTTAACATCCTTAAATTCTCTGGAGTTTCTTCTTCTTTTTTTATTTTCCTTTTTTTTTCTTGATTGTTTGAAGATGTTGCTCTTCAGAGAAGTCATTCAATGCAACCTTGCTTTATGTTATTTTCTTCATGCCCTGCCTTCTTATATGGAAACATTACACCTTGCTGTATGTCTGAGTTAATTTTTCTGTTTATCTGTTTTATTTAATTAATTTATTAATGTTTGCTTATTGGTTTATTTCATTGTCTTGTAATCTGACCAGAATAGTGCTTTGCACTAATGTGGTTGTATAGTTAGTTAGTTAGTTAGTTAGTTAGTTAGTTAGTTAGTTAGTTAATTTCAAGCAGAAATCTGCATCTTTATTAATGCTGATTTACAATCTCATATGTTTATTTGACAGAGACTTTAAATCTTTTCATTTCATTTTTTACCTAGGACCACAAAATTATTTCCCCGATCTTCAGTTCTTTCACATTTTGAGTCTGGGTTTTTTTAGAAAGAGCAATAATTCAATTTTTTGTCCCACAACTCCAAAATTGACTGTTTGTATATAATGATTCCTGCTGGATTTAAATCTTCAATAGGGCAATTGAAATTACCTCTATGTTATGTCTAGAGAAACTTGGGCAAGTAGCAGAATTAGGTTACTACTTAGAGTAAAGATTGTTCTTTGGATTCTGCTTTGGACTGGACTTGTCATTGTATAAAATTGTATAGGAAGTTCTGGATTTCAATGGACAATGTCTTATGACAGTGATCTGGTGATGATTTATTACTATTAAGGCTCTCCCCCTACATCCCAAGGCTCCCAAAGCCTTCCTCAGAACAAAAAATGAGCTCTAGGGAGCCTCAGAACCTTAAAGGAGGAGGATAGGAAGCTTTTATTTACTTTAAATTAAATGCTTCTGGCACCCAATTCAGGTTACACTGTGCAAAGTTACAGCATCTAAATTTTAAGTTCCAGAATCTTGTTGGTATTTACTGTGCATAGAACATAAATTACAACAGTAGCAGTAGCTGTTTAGAGAGGTGCCTGTCACTTGCTGTTTGTGTTCCCAGTCATGTAGCCATATATGTGACCAGTAAGTGGCAGACACTTCTCCAAACACATATTTCCATTAGTAAACACTAATAGGATTCTGGCCAAAATGGGAATCTGAGAGAATTGCTAGTTAGCCATGAATTCACACTAATAAAGCTGCATTATTTTCCCTTTTTTGTGTGTGAACAGTTCTGTTATTATTATTACTAATATGTTAATTCAGGATTAATCTGAACTTTCAGAACAGATTATGAATATTTATGAGACCTGCCTGTTCAGTGGTTCCTCACTAGCATCTCAGGTTCATGCTGCTGCTGTCAATGGACATAAGAATGCTCTTCTAAAGCAAATAGCAGGTAAAATGTTTTCTTTTTATATTTATTACCTTTGCTTTCCATCTGTTATATTTTGTTTTCCTAGAGATTTTTGTAAATTTTAATTAATATTAGGGCATGTAAGATAAGGTTTTTTTTTTTTTCATAATGGCTTGGGCATTTTGTTAAATAAGTATAGTTTTATACAATTTCCCTTATCACTGCACCTACAAATGCATCGGTAAAATTTGAATGTTAGTATCTTATTATGGGAGAGTTCACGTAGTCATATACCCAGGACATATCCATATGTTCTCAGAGAGAGTTCCATCAAAATCAGCAGAATTAATTTCTGATTGCATGTACTGATTTTCTGAATCACAGGGAAATATAACAAAAGTTGGTTAATCAGAAGTGTAGTTGTAAACTTTTTGTTAGAAATGTGAATCTTGAAAGTAAATGTTGCTGTTTAAAATGGTTGTGTGAAGCAGGAATCCCATAAAAGAAAAGGGGAAAAACTAGTGAGTCTACTTTCATTACTACCCCATATTTTCCTTTGTCTTAATGAGTCACAAAAACAGATAGTCTTTCTGGTCTTGAGCAGAAAACGAAATAAAAACCTTAATACATTTGTTAGGAGCAAACAAAAATTCCGCGAAAGTGTACCAAACCTTCTCCAGAAGTATGTAGCATAACATAATTGAGTTGGGGAGGGAAACAGAGATGTCTAATATAATAGTTGTTGTGGGTTTTTCGGAAGGTTGTTCTTCCTAACGTTTCGCCGGTCTCTGTGGCCGGCAGCTTCAGAGGACAGCACTCTGTGCTCTGGTGTAGTTGGCTATGGGAGGGCAGTATTTATGGCTGTGAGATAGGCTTTTGTCTTTTTCTGTAGATGGGTGATTCGTGTGTATTGTTGTGGGTGTATTGTTGTGCTAAGGAGAAGAGTTTATCTGTTCCTGTCGTTGATGGGTGTCATTAGCTGGTCTTTTGTATGTAGTGATCCCGTCGAACCTCTAAACATCACAAGATGACTAAGGATAATTCTAAACGTGCCCAAACTTCTCAATCGGTGTCGAAGGCTACTCAGTTAAAAGGTCTTTTGCCACCTACACAACAAACATCTGGATATGACAGTATGAAATCAAGGAAGTCTTCACACTTACCTTCACCTTCGGACCAGGAGGAGGTATTTTCATCTGCCACTTCAGACCAAGATGATGAAGTATTCTCTGAAGCCTCAGGTGAAGCCCCTGTAGAAGGAAGAACTCTTGAATCAGACACTGGTGATCCACACCCATCCTCACCTTCTGAGGATTTATTTATTTATTTATTTATTTATTTATTTATTTATTTATTTATTTAACCTGTGTTTTGTTTTGGCTGCCTGTGAGTCGTGCAAGTCAGCACTGGCACAAACAACACCGAGCCTGGAAATTTGTCCTTTTTCCTCAAGTGAATTATGCTGAATTTTTCAATTAAATTATTTTTTGTTTTATTTTATTTATATGTCGCCCACACTACCCAAAAGTCTCTGGGTGGCTTACATCATTTAAAAATGATTTCCAGGATGGCTAAGACTTTAAAACGCCAAACGGAACAGCCTCCATGCCCCAAAGAAGACCTGGTGTTTGGAGATATCAACCAGGAAAGGTCTCCACCACTGAGCCTATCTTTTATTTCAGCCTTAATGGAGCTCATTAAGGAGTCCTGGAACCAACCTTCTACATCTCCACCAGTAGCTTGTAGAACTGAAAATCTCTACCGCACACATGGAGATGACACCAATTTTCTTCTTAAGCACCCTGTCCCTAACTCCATAATTGTTCAATTGAATTCATCTAAATCATCTGGAAAAGCCCATGTAACAGCTACTAATAGAGAAGGACAGAAGTTGGATGTATTGGGCCAAAATATATATTCCTTCACCACCTTCTTACTCAGAGTGGTGAATTACCAAGTGGCCATGGGGGCATACCAAAGGCAGCTTTGGTCATGAATTCTTCCAGCCCTCGAAGCAGCACCAGATGACACGAGACAAGGTTTCTTGAACACCTATGCGGAAGCCCTTACGGTTGCAAAACATCATTGACTGGCTTCCCGCCACTCAGCAGATGTAGCCTCTAAAACATTGACATCTGCCATCACTTTGAGGTGACACGTATGGCTTAGGTCCTCAGGCATTATAGAGGACGTTAAGACTTGTATTGAAGACCTATCATTTGACGCCAAAGGTCTATTCAATGAAAAAACTGACGACTCACTGGAAAATTTACACAAAATTAGAAGAACCGCCAAATCCTACACTATTCATCAACAGCCTAAGTACCACAGATATCAGTGGTGCAAACAATACACTCAACAACAATACCAACAGCCATCTTCTCAGTCTTACCGTGCTTTCAAACATCAGAGCCAGAGTAGAGGGGACCGGTCTAACACTGTGACGAGACAGCAGGAGGAGGACAGAGCTCTGTTCCCTGGGCTGAATTCTGACCTATTTAGGACACCCCAGGGTGTCAAAACCACCCCAAAGCGGTGGTGAACTGGGGGGGAAGCCTGTTGATCACTGGGGGGAAAGCAGTCATCCCCGCTTGATCCAGGAAACTCCCCAATCAGCCAACGGGCAGAAACAAGCAGCTAGGAAGCTTGCTTGCAAGTCGTTGGCAGCTGGCAATAAGAGAAGCAACAATCAGATATTCAACATTGGTGTTATTATCGGGTGAGATATATTTTTACAAATAACTGCTTATGATTACCCCTGGAGAAGACAATTCCTATATACAGAAAAA